TAAGCCCTCAAGGGATCAGATATCCAGGCAGAGGTCAGACTAGAGCTCAGAAGTTTGATCACATTTCTAGATCTAATTCATGATGCTTTTTTATTAGTTTTTGTGGTGTTGGGGATGGAATCCAAGGGTTCAGGCAAGCTAGGCAAGGGCTGTAGCACTGAGCTAATCTCTAGCCCTTGTTATGATACTATAAGTAACCGAAAAACTTTAATGAGATAGGAAATGTAGACTGTACAATTCCACCTATCCCATTTATTTCCAAACTGTCATGAGGGTCAAACAAGAAACCAAATGAAATTGCTTGGTAAATCATGAAACATGGTAAAATGTAAAATTATCCACAGTAGAATGACTCTTCCAGTGTTTTCCATTCATGGTACTGAAGTTCTCGCCCCTTGAAAGAAATTACTTTGACCAACAGTAAAAGCAGACGCTCAAGAAATGATCTTAAGAACGAACGTAAATTTTTCTCTATGCAGCTTCTGAAATTGATGAAAATATCCTTATGTTTCATTGATTAGTAAATAAGCACTGTGCAACTGAAGGACATATTAAAATTATTTAGTATCATTAATGTTTGCACAGAACCAAGTTCAAAACTGCAATTCTTAGAAATATTCTTTAATGTTTAAGAGTCTCACCTGGAGTACAGTACATTTATGTACTGATTGTTCTGATCAGTACATTTACATAAGCAATTACCACCTCACATGTTCATAAGCTGGGAACTTATTACATGGTATAAATGGAACTTGTTATCAATGAATTAAGTCTTGGCAAGGTTTCAAAAATCTACAAACTACATTTGACTTCTCATATTCTATCTGTACGTGAAAGGTTACAATTAATACCAAAGATCCTTAAATGGAGCTATTCAAGCCCTTTTAAATATAAACTGATGTATGTAATGTCACACAATAAAAATGTATGGAAGCTTTTTTTTTTTTGGTTGTTCTGAAGCAGACTCACTATGTAGTTCAACCTGGCCTCGAACTCAGTGATCCTTCTGCCTCATCCTCCCAATTGCTGAGATTACAGGCAGTTGCCACCCACACTGGGCTCACAATGAGAATTTAGAGGCAGCAGACCAAATCACATTTTCATTTCAAAAATTTATTTTCCAGTGAATACCTTTTGAATTGGAAGAAAAGTTCTAAACAAAAAAGCCCAGGACCTGGCTTCCTACAGCCAGAACTTCAAAACATTTTATCGGGGGGGGGGGGGGGTTGTTGAGGGTTGGGGGATTACAGGGGATTGAACTCAGGACCTTGCACTTGCCAGGCAGGTGGGCACAGCGCCACTGAGCTACATCCCTGGCCCCAGAACTTCTAAACTTGAAAAGATTCACTCCATGGTTTCTGATTCAAAATCAGCAAAACATCAATTCCTAAACAGAAAGGACAACCATAGTTAGGCAAAGAATCTCAGTTAACCAGGCTTTAGGCTACAAAAGGAGTCATTAAGTATTACTTAATTTTAACAGAGTCTATTCTTGCTGGGCACGGTGGCGCATTCCTATAATTCCAGTGCTTGGGAGTTTGAGGCCAGCCTGGGCTACATAGCGAGACCTATGAGAGAAAGTATACTGCTCCTGACTCTCATGCCCAAACCTGTGAGAAAGCATGTTTGTGATATAAGCTGCAATAAGCAGGAATTTTCCAGAGAAAAAGATACTCTCTAGTCTCTTGCTCACAGTAAAGTGCTCCATTTGGAAAAAATAAATACACAAAATACAACATGGACAAATGTGCCAGAGATGTGGAATGACATCTAGACAAGCAACAGGTAAATGCCCAGGGTACCCGCAGACTCATTTCCCAGGCGTGTGGTCTAAAATTCACCAAGAGTCAGGTCTAAGGCTAGGACCACACACAGTACTTTTTCCAAACACAACTAATTACAAGTGATATCCTTGCAAACAAGAGGAATAAATTAAAAGTTGAATACCCAGACAAAAAGCTACTGATTAAATGCTCATTAGCTCAGAATAAAGTCTGAACAGAATAAGGTAGAATTATGGCCTCCTGGCTGCACCATGCTCAGTATTTTATAATAATAATCTATTTTTAAAGCTGGCTATCAAGAAGTACTAGCTAGGCCGGGGGATTTAGCTCAGTGGTTCCACTGCCTGCCTCGCAAGCGCAAGGACCCAAGTTCAATCCCCGGTTGGGGTGGGGGGGGAGTACTGGCTAGCATTCCTTTCCAATGGAGACATTCATGTTTAGTCTGATCAATGTTCAATTCACACTTTCAAAAAGCAATTATCTGGAGAACTTTTCTAACAGCATAAGGAAAAGAAAAATATTTGATATGGTGTGCATAAATGTGTGTAGAGGAGGATAATCATCCATCTACCCCAAATGCCTCCCCGCCTTTTTTAACCTCAAGTGCCTTTTTGCACCTTTTTCAAATCGTCATCAATTTACTTGAGACTTAAAAGCACTAGACAGGTAACATGATATTATTAAAAATGATAACTTGAGAAAAAGAGCCACAATTATATATAATCATCTCTGAACTCTAGTCAAAAAGCATGAGACTGGGGAAATGGAGAGGAGAAGGGACTTTACTGCAAGAAATTATATCTGATATGATCAAACATCTTGATCTTTAAACTATCTCTAACCAAGATGCTAATCATGATCTTTCCTCTCCCTAATTTGATTCCTTGAAAAAAAAAGGAGAGAAAAAAAAGTTAAAAATGAAGTGTCAAGGGTGACACCTTCAAAAGATTTGAAGCATGGCAAGAAAACAAGAATGGGTGATTTCTTCTGCCAAAAGTCAGCTAAACACTAATTTGAAAATATATCCTAACAATTAGCATTGAAATCCCAAGAGACCCTGCACACCCTAAGGAACCCATGAGACTATACTCCTGGTTTTTGATAAGCATGGACCATCAGTCTTTAAATCTTTGGCCACTATCTTTAGATAACTGTTTCAAGGGATATCATCCTTCAGAATCATCACCAATAGATCAACTATGAAAAACAAAACAAACAAAAAAATGTATCATTTTGTAGAACTGGGGATGTAGCTCCATGGTAAAGTGCTTGCCTGGCATATGCCAGGCCCTGGGATCAATTCCTAACACACACACAAAAACCCTTAAAATTGATATTTCTCTAAGCTGCGCAGGGTGTGTCACATGTCTGTAGTTCCAGGCACTGGGGAAGCCTGGACAGCAGGTCACTTCAGACCACGAGTTTGAGACCAGCCTGGGCAATATGGCAAGAATCCATTTCAAGAAAAAAGAAAATCAGGGATGGGGATTTAGCTCAGTGGTTCCACCACCTGCCTCGCAAGCACAAGGTCCCAAGTTTGACCCCTGATACCAAAAAAAAAAAGAAAGAAAGAAAAAGAAAAGAAAATTACATCACACTTTTTTGAGTTTTTAGTATTCCCCAAGACATGTTCTGCTTCTTGCACTTGCAGAGAAATGACCTAATTTTGAAAACTGATACTATATATGAATTGTAATCACTTATTTTAACTGAAAAATTTCACTTATACAATTATGTTTTTCTATCTCAAACTGGACTTCAAACACTGTAAATACATGACATTCCTAACAGAACACTCAGATAAAGTGATGCATTAATTACAATACAAAAATACTATTTTAGGGCCGGGGACATGGCTCAGTGACACAGTGCCTACCGGGCAAGCATGAAACCCTGAGTTCGATTCCCATTACAAAAGAAAAAAAGATTCTATTTTAAAAGGAAGCCTTAGGAAATTTTTCACAAAGGAGATCTCTGCTAAAAGGCTATTCTAATACCATACATAAATCTACCTTATCATGCATGGCAAAAAGAATACCATCTCCCACAACCAAGATTTGGCACTTTGAACTGAACATATCAGAATTTGGACAACAAAACATGAGGAAGGTTCCTCAAATCCAAGTAGTTTTTTGAAGCTGACTCAATCTGTGATACTAATTCATCCTTCCCTGTAGGAGCAGAGGCACTAAACTTATTGTGTAAATTTGTCTTTTTCTACTGCTGATCAGTGTTTATGACGAGCACTGTTGGTTACAGTTCCTCTGAGGATCAGTGAGACATAGTTCCAATTCATTTGTGCTACTATCTTCGATCCTTTAAAGCAAGTCTAAATAAAACTAAGAAAAATTTGGATATGGATTTTGTTTTGATTTTTGAGACAGGGTATTGCTATGTAGATCAGGCTGGCCTCAAACTCATGACAATTCTCCTGCCTCAGCCTCCCCAGTGCTGGGATTACAGGGATGCACCACCATGCCCAGTTGGATATGGAATTCTTTATCTACAAAAGTGCCTTTGTAGTAAACGTGGGAGGTGATGACATTTTGAGATAAATATTCCCTTATCTTCATGAAAAGCTGTGTCAAACGTTTTACATGAGCTACAAAGTACATACTCAATCTGCTAATATGCTAATTACAACATATAATTATCACAGTTTTAACCCTAACATCTACCTTGCTTCAATTATGAAAATAAAAATGATGCATAAAGCTTATTTTTAAATAAAAAATTTTAATAGGGAATTAAATGTTAAATAACTAAGAGAATAGTACATTTCTAGCCTGCTAGATTTCCCATATCTACATGACATCTACATGTTCATTATTGGTTCTACACTACCTGGAAGGCACAGACATTACATAAAACTCTACAACTATAAACCAAAATGTATTGTGCTAATCCATAAAACTTATGAAAAAAAGCAAAAACACTACCACCCATGTTTCTACATGTCTTTTCTAATTGAGACATGTGAAACACCAGAATAGAAAAATCATAATAATGTCATAGGGAGGAGTAATAAAGTTGAGTTTTGAAGTCTTTTATCGGAGTTTTTGAGTCAAAAAAAAATTATGTCAAACCTAAAATTTCAGCTAAAGCATAAATTTTAGCTATCACAAAAATACTATGCCCAGACATTCATGAATAGATACTGCAAACTTGGGGAATAATAAACAAAGCAGAATTCATGGTTACCATATTTACACATACTCTTTGTTGTGTTTCAGTGCCACATGATCTGATTCAAAGTAATAAACATCAGGATCATCATCTTCCTCTTCTGCAATGTGCTGACTGGCACTCTCTTTGGCAGGTGGCATATGTCCGATACTGAGTCTTCCCTCTGAGGGTGGCTTACTTAGTCCTTCGCTTCCATAGTTTTGAGAGTCACAACATAAAACTTTTTCATTTTGAGAAATATCATCAGGACTTGTGGGAGACTCACTTACATTATCACTAGCAGTTGCACCTGTTTCATTGGGACTAAGATTGTTCTCCTCAAATTGTCCATTCTCTCTGCAAGGAGAACTGTTTTTAGTGGGACTAGCTCTGGCAGGGGTGGCCCTGCGTGGTGACGCTCTCAGGGTATACCGATGTTCTTGAGGTTCTGACAGAGACATCATCTGAGCTGAGATGCAATCTAGAACAGACGGCGGCTCTGCTTCTTCCGAGACTGGCATACTCTCAAGATCTGCATCCAAGATGTTACTGGTATTTTCATTACACTGCTCTTTTGAGGCACTGCTATCTCCCACCACATCTACTTCCTCCTCAGAATCCCTTAAAGATGACTGGATTTCAGAAATGGGGCCTGAAGCTGGCTCAGTAGTCAGCTGATTAACACACTCCACAGACAGGCAGGCAGTTCCTAATTTGTGGTCCTCCAACTTGACCTGCACTTCTGAATTTGTGCAAGGCACGTTATGGTCTATATAACTGTCGTCCCTCCTATTATCACGGAACATTGAAGTCTGGGTTTCCGAAGCCCCATTTTCAGCTACTGATTTCTCCTGCAATGCATAGGAACCAGCACTATTTTGCTTAGTGTTCCCACCAGGCTGACAGTCATCACAGTTTATACCAGCAGAATCACTGTCATCAACACCGTTGACAGTCAGACAGCCTGTAATTTCTTCAACTACTGCAGAATTAAGTGGCCCTTCCTCACTGACATTCACCTTTTTAACTTCCCTTTTCTCACAATCATCCAGTATAAGACATCGACAAGCACGTTTAGTCCCTTGAATATCTGCATCATTGTCCACTCCTGTCCTCCTCTGTTCTACTGACTCCTTGTCTGATTTGATAGGCGAATCTTCTTCTGAACTGTTTGGTGCTTCAGATCTAAGACAACGTTTAATTCTTTTTAAAACTGGTGATACAGGTTCTGTTTGCCTTCTCTCACAATTTTCTATTGCCTGCCTTTCTAGGTTATCCTTTTCGCAAGAAGAAAGTCCTCTTTTCCTAGGGCTTACCCATGAATCTCGAGTACTCTGCTGCTTTAAATCAGTAGTTTTTCCATTATTATTTCCCTTTTGAATTTGCACAGGCTCTGTTCTCTTCTTTGGAGATCTTGACCGTACTTGAGAATGAGAAGAGAGTTCTTCAGGGTGAGCAATGCTACGATTCCTTAAAGTTCTACCACAAAAAGATTCATCCAAGCCGTTTAACCCCACTGTTGATCTTGTAACACGAGTAGATCGGGAAGCAGCCATACTATGGCAAGTCCCTACAATACGGTCATCATGATCCACTCATTGGGAAACCTTCAAAAATGTAAACAAAATAATGAGAAAAAAGGTAATCGTTAATATACCTAAAACAAAAGCAAAAACCTATAATTTTTTATCCAAGTATAGCCAATATTAATTAACTATGGGGCAAAAGATTTTTTTAATTAACATTTCCAACTAACAATTAAAAACCACTTAATATACTCCAGAAATTGTCTATATGTTTAACATACATTAACTCACTTAGATTCTATTATCATTCCTTTTTTACAAACGAGGCTGAGGCACAGTCTGAGTAAAAAGGTTCAAGGTCACACACAGCTAGCAGTGGCAGGGGGGCTCCAGAGCCCACGCCCTTAACCTACCCCCGCATTGTCTCTCTCAGACAGGCACAAAGCACCCAGAAGAGATCTGTCCAAAGGTGAGAGTTCATCTTGGTTACTAAAGTAACAACCTTGAATTTATACAGCAGCTATCTTACAAAAATATTCTAATCACTACTATTATCCTTTCAAAACATTCCTGGAAGACAGAAAGGCAGGCTCTGCTCTTTTTAATACACTCTTACTAAACTGAGTTTCAGGTCAAATCCCTTGAAAACAAGCTATGTAGTATCCAAAAACTTATGGTTGCAGTAGAAGGATGGATAGAAATCACAGTCCTAGCTTCTACTGACCAAGAAGAAGATAGAGCAAAGCAAAAACTTCCCAGTCTCTTGAAACAAAGCATAAATCAGCAAGTGAAGGGAAACACTCTCAGAGGATAGACAGAAGAGAATGGAAAGAAGCCTTTGAAGCAAATATGTAAATTCAAGAAATCAGAAATACACATATAATCCTACCCTTCCCTTCTTAGAATTCATGTGTACAGTGTGGGCCAGTTTTAATGCCTGGTTTTGAGAGATGAGCAGGTTTTCTGGTGTAGACGCTTCATGTTTTTAAGAGAAAAATGGGAGGGATGTTGAAAAATACCCTGACTGGTCCATTTGGATCAACTGAAAGATTTAATGATATTTTCCAAAGTCTCCCCCATCAAGCAGAATGCAGCTACTGTTAACATTTCATATCTCCATTACCCTCCTCCTCTTCTGCTTGGCCTCCTTCCATAAGATACTTGGCCATTTCACTGCCTGATTTCCAAAGGGGTACAGGTCAGTTAGAGAATGAAGCCAATAGAGGCTCAAAGACACAACTTCCCAGGTTCCCTCCTTCCTGCCTCCCTCCAAATGCCACTCTGTTCCTTCCCCCTACACATCAAACACAAGCTCTCTTTTGCCTCAACTAGAAGGATCTCACAGTAGAAAGGTAGAACTACAAAAGACACAGCAAAGTGCTACCACAGACAGACAAGAAACATTAACGGAAATTGTCTCCCTTCTCCTCCTGCTGACAAATTAAGTGATCAAGTACCCTGGAAAGTACATAACTTGGAAAACTGAATTGAGTTTTGTTTCAGAGTATGGCCTACTTCTAAATTTTTAATTAACAGTTTTACAAGACTCACAAAACCAGTCCTAAATAAAAGCACACTTACTTGTTCTGGAGATTTTAATTAGAATCAAGTGAACAATAAGTATGCGACACATTAATCAGAACTTAGAAATGGTTTTTTACAATAAAATTTCACTGTTTGGAGATTCATTAAAGGGATCTCTGACATGTGATTCTCTTTTGCTAATATCCTGTCATCAAGATTACAGTCTTTTCATTCAGTATAATAAACACTGAATATCCCACAAATTTCTACATTCAATTACAATGAATTTAAGTTAAACCTTAAATATTTTTACAGAACATAAGCTGAAAGTACTAAAAGCAATTTATTTGTTTTATGTGCCCAAATCTGGAACTCTTAAAATTGAAAGTTAAATATTAAATAGCTATGTAAATACACAAAGAAAATAAGATAATTTTGCAAATAAACTACAAAATCCCATGTAAATATCTTTAATGTAAATCTGTTTTCATAGTTTATGTTTTCATAAGACTGGTATCAACAGTATTTTATAAACACACCATCTTCTAACCTTTACTTTGTAAAATACAAAGCCAATTAAAGGCATAAAACAAGCGATTCTAGCAAGAGGCCTTCCTAACCCTTTATTTTCTTTCCACACCAATCTGAATAGATGCAAAACATCTATTTTGTAGTACACCCTCCCAAAAAGAGACAATTTCAGATGAAACAAAACTATTATTAGTACTCAGAATTACTTGTAAAGTGTATGTATGTATGTGTATATAAATCACTATAAAATACCATCTATAATGAGGGCCTATATTATTTCTTCACCATTCCAGTGATTAAAATACCAAAAATACTGATTAATATGTAAGATTCTGTTTCTTTTGCTCCCTAAAAATATGTTTATTCTATTCAACAACTACAATGAAGCCCAAGTTTTAGGATTATCAAATCCTATTAAGCCACACTGAAATAAAGTCTGTCTTAAAATAAGCATCTTTTGGCACTTCAAACATTGAAGTATAGTCTGAAATCACCACTATGACATCTCTAGGAAGCGTAGAAAAGCAGAATGCAGGCAGGGGGCAGCTCAGTGGGAGTGTACTTGCAAGGATACATTGGCTTGGTCCCCAGGAACAACAAAAAAGAGAAAAAGAAAAAAAGAAGAGAGGAGGAGATGGGGATGGGTAGAGAAAAAAAAAAGAAATTCTGAGTCAGGCGTGGTGACATAGGCCTGTAGGCCAGCACTCAGGAGGCTGAGGCAGAAGGACTGCCACAAGTTCGAGACCAGTCTGAGCTACATAGCAAGATCCTGTCTCAAGCCCCCCAAGTCCAAAAACAGAAATGCAGAGCGCCAGGCCTTGCCAGATGACCACAGAATCCAATTACCAAGTGACTCGCATGTGCTGGAGTTGGAAAAGCACTGCCCTAACCCACTGCCCTCAGACACTATTCTAAAACGCAGTGTAATACAACAGTCACCTAGTTTTAAACCAAATTAGATCTACTTCTGTCCTTTAATTCCTTGCTAGATCCTAAAAATAATAATAAAAAGTATAAATCCATGATCCCTCTGGCTAGGGAAACAACAAAAAGTGGACTATACATCTTTTGCCAGCACTCAGGACGGGGAGGCTGAGGCAGGAGATCACTGCAGGTTCAAGGCCAGCCTAGGCTGCGAGGTGAGTGCAAGGCCAACTTGGACTACACAGCGAGACCCTGTCTCAAAATACAAAACAAAAATCTCTTGACTGAAATCAAAATGTTATATACATTTAGAGTAATCAGTTACAATTATGAAGGTTAGACTTAAAATTTTACCAGTCCTCTGATTTTTTTCTTGTTCTAGCCTTTTCATCTTTTCTGTTTTCAATCAGAATATATAAAGACACTTATTTTCTACACTCAGCTGATAAACTCAGCACAAACTTCAGTTATACAAAGGGACTTTTAATGTCTATATTACTTCAATTAAGATTCAACGCTGGCTTGCCATGCTTATCAGCGAAGTACTACAGGCAAAAGCTAGTGCTTTTCTCGTTTTAGCCGAATACAGTTACTGAAGAATTCAATGAAGAGCTTTGGAGTACAAAATTATATTCCTGCCACATATTAAGCTGCCAAGGATATAGAAATGAACTTATTTACACACTATTAAAAGAAGATACTCCTGCTAGTTAACTAAATAGGAGACATATGGTTAAAACCTTGCCCAGCACCCATCTGGAAATAGAAATTTAAACACTCTAGTTTTAGAATTGAGGGAAACCATTAGTTAATATATTCATATGGCCAAAACCCAACTATCAATTAAACCTATGTTTTCCCTACATTATCCACCAACTAATGAACAATGGCACTTCCTAGAACACAGAGGGAAGAGAATGTGATCAATCGCTAGGATTAAACACATTGCCTTCCCACCCTTGTTAAATTTTCATCCCACTGAAAGGCATCACCGAGAAGGGCTGGTTAACTAAACTTTAGCCTGGCCACTCTGAGAAGACCAAATCCTACACCGTACCCACTCCTTGTCTGGCAGTGACCTACCAACCTTCCCCAAAACTTGAATCAACTTTTACCCAAGTCTAACTATGAAATTCTGGAACATTATCAGTTATGCTTCAGATCATAAATTCCCAGTCCCTGTGATCACACCGCAGATCAATGTCACTAAGGACTAAAAGGAATAACATTGAACACAAAAGGCCCACAACTAAATGCTGCTCTAGCAACTTTTACTTAAAAGAAAGAAATCTCAAAAAGCTATTTCAAAAAACACTGCCTATAACCCTTTGCTCCTACTATAACCAACAAAAGCGTTAGTTTATTTTGGGAATTGAGGACTTGGCAATCCTCCATTAATACCAATGTTCTAGTTGATATTTACTATCATAATATTTAGTTTTATTAAGTGAACAATTGGTCATGATGATACTGGTGTACTTTAATGTAAAAAAAAAAAAGTAGAGGGAAAAAAGAACAAGAGCAACTGGGAAGTGTCACCCATATGTTTATTTTTTCTACTTGTCTAGAATATAAACTGTTTAACAATATTCAGGCTATGCCTGTCATACAATTCTTTTAAGACAAATTATTTCAGCTGTGTAATAACCACTCTATAAGAGTAATAGTAGGAGAGTGAAAACTGGAACCCATGCAATTCAACCTAAGGTTCTTAACAGTCGCCTCTTTGTAGTCTAGAAACTCTTATGTACTGTCTGATATAAAAGGGTTTCCTCTTCCTTCCCCATTGAGAGAGAGGTAATTAGGTAAGTAGACAGACAGACAGATCTGAATGTATAACACTTAAAAGATAATAGAGAAACAGAAGTTAAGGGATTTCATGATATCCCTTTAAGTACCTAGGGTGTCATGAGGTTTAATGGTCTAGAGATTCCAACATTCTCAGTCATTACATTTATCCCCTTTTCGGGGAATGAATAGAAAAATACTTCATCTCTAGTCCATGCCCCGTAAGTCTACATTCCAAGACTCCTAGCCCATTCCTTAGAGCACCACACTCCTGTAAACAGCCAGCCAGACTGCACAATTTTCCACACACAGAACAGAAAATAAGTCTTCCCTCATCAGGGAAAAAAAGAAAAAAAATCAAACTATAGTTGTCTTCACCACTGCAAAACTAAACAACTTACCTGTATAACCAAAGATCTATCATTGTGGAAATATTATCTCTTTTCCTTATATCCTGAAGGAGTTGGAGCTATGTCTAGAATAGAGCTTAAGCATCAGGGTTTCAGACTCTCAGCTTCAGCCATGGAGAATACTAGAAACTCTTAAATTCCTTTCTTTAAAATAAAATAATAAAAAAAAAGAATTAAAGAAGGAAATTAACTTGTGCTAATAGATTTACTCCTATGATAAGACACAGCAGATAATAGAATCTCTTCATAGTGACATCTTTGGTGATAACTGGGAACTCTAATAACCTCAGGGGTATTAAGAAACTGGTATACATTTTTAAAAACCAACAAAAATAAACCAGAAGAGCTGGAAGTATACCAAGTGCTTCCAACAACTACATATTAGTTTCAGTCAAAATATGATTCAGTTCTTTTCTAGAGTCCACTCTAAGAATTTTTTTGAGGTGATCTAAAGATTCCTTTTGATATAGTGTCTCAAAACAGTATTTATAATCTCTATTATAAAACATTTCCCAAATTTTGGACTCCAAGTATGCAAAACTGGGGACTGAACAACAAAACCTTTAGATTATTCACACCAAAGAATCAACCAAGTCTTCTTAACTACAGGTATCCTCATACCGTGTACTTACTAAAGTGCTAGAAGACTCAATTATTAAAGGAAATTTCTATTGTTTTTGGCATATAGATTTTCAAAGGACAAAAATAACAAGGATTTTCTGGGTTTAGTACCAGATATTTTAATCAATCTAATTACTGTTCTTTGTTCCAATTCATGGAACAGTCTAATTACAGTTTTACTAATGTATTATGTTATCCTTTTCAGAGAATGTGTTGTCAGGCTTAAACGGGTTATTATGTACAAATGAAAAAGTATTGAAAAAGAAGGCCAGCAGATATTTATAATAGAAAGTATCACTTTATTACAAGCATAAAGCTAGATATCCTAAGGGTGACTCTATTTATGTGAGGAAAAGACTGATAAAATTACCAAATCTTGTAAACTAGGGTTACTGCCTAGTGAAAATAAAGGTATTAGTTTCACAGGGGCAGAGGCTAATAATATCTACTATAGATGCAACCTCTTCCAAATATTCCTTATAAATTCATTGAAAGAAAAACCCTCACAAAATGGGAAAATGTTTAAAAATAACCATTTAACTGTACTTTTTAAAATTCTCCATTAACACAGGGAAGTGAACCACAGTGAAAACATGATCCCACAAAAAGTAACCCTTGACTTGAAAATTACCTCTTTTTATACCAAAGACCCCAAGTCTCCTTTGTACTCAACCCTGGGGCTTTTGCAAACGTGGCAAAAGAGTACAACGTACAGTGCGCGATGGTGGTGTCACTCGTCAGCAGTTAGGAAGGTTCACAACTACATGTGTCTCTGGCCAGACATGGACGCACACTTTCTAGCACTGTCAAGCACTAACCAGGCACATCACTGCTCTAGTTCATTAGGGTTCACCACAGGAATGTCCTCTGAGACTATTCAGTACACAGAAGAACTGATACTTACGGCTGAGTCCTACCAGTATTAAGACGGTCAGGTTCCGGCAGATGTGTTTCTTAGGGCCTGAAAAAGAAACTTCAGTCAACGACTTCTAACTAGATCCCACTTGGCCTTAATTAAGATTACATTTTTTTCTTACCTTTTAGGAAGTGTTTCGCCTAGTATCTGATTCCCAAGCGTCTGTATTTATCTGTCATCACTGATATCGTCCATGTTACACTGAGACTTCAGGTGTTAATCATTTATATGGTTGTACTAGCACAACTTGGAATCTGTGAAGGGAAACCACAATATAGTCACCATGGCTGTGCTGCTGTTTACAGATCTGTGGAAAAAATGACAATACTCCTAAATACCGGTACAGTGCACTTCATTTTCTAATACATTTCACAAGTAATAACACATTGAGCTATGAGATACATGTTGTCTTCACAGCAGGATGACTTGTTAATATCCTTAAAAATTCTTAAAAACCTTGGCCTGGGGATTTAGCTCAGTGGTGCCGCACTTGCCTTGTAAGCGCAAGGTGCTGAGTTCAATCCCCACTACAGGGGAAAAAAATTCTTCCTTAAATTCCTTTCTTTAAAATAATTTTTAAAAGAATTAAAGAAGGAGACACCCTACCGAGGTCCCCAGTCCCGCGGAACACGCCGAATCAGCCCGCTGCAGACAGGTAGGTCTGTGCACGACCTACCGAGGTCCTGAGTCACCCAGAAGACGCCGAATCACCCCACTGCAGACAGGCAGTTCTGCCCACACCCTGCCCAGGTCCCCAGTCGTGCGGAACACACGCCGAATCAGCCCGCTGCAGACAGGCAGGTCTGTGCACGCCCTACCGAGGTCCTGAGTCACGCGGAAGACACCGAATCACCCCACTGCAGACAGGCAAGCCACCTGATTCGACATTACCAAGGCGCAGA